ATTGGTGCTGCAATACCGCTGCTAAAAATACAGTATGAAACATACAGCATAACCAGTGGATTCCAGAATGATTCTTTTGAGTTGGTTCTTTTTTGTGAATCAAAAACAAGCAGCATAACCTATAGTAGTGTGGTCCGACTCCCGAATGAATTATGCTATTGAACTGGTTCTATTTCAAGTTTTGTTCTTCTCTGGAAACATGATTTGACATTATTCAGTCCCAAGGTGTAAAATCCACACAATTGTGAATTTCGAGTGAGATTTTGGAGCTAGTTTAAGTTGGACCTTCGCTACACTGTTGACAATAAACAATGGACATTCTTCACCGGCAAAGGTTTTTAAATTTTGATGTAGCTTCACAAGACATAAGCTGTACGTGTTTATTCACTAAAAACAACCAAGTCATCAAAGTGATTCATTCAAGAATCGAAATGAATGACCATCTAAACTACACTAAATTCCACAGGTACATTTGGACAAGAAGAAAGTTGGAGCATCAACACACCATCTTCCTGGAAGCACCCTGCTGTTCCCTACGAGATTCTCATAGATCCCTTAAGTATGCCGTCTCATCCCGTACTGGATATAGAAATCAATCTGTCAGATGTCTCGGACTCTGAGAAAACTGAAAACGTAAACAGTGAGGTAAGGCATTTGGATGAAGCTTTGTGTAGTTGTTTCATATAGCGGTTTTCCCCACTAATGGCTCAGGTGTTGTTACCGAGATGAAAATCTGGCTTCTAAAACACTCCTAATGTGCTCTTAATTGCAGTTGGATGTCCTCATCGAGGAGACTGACCCTCCATCAATCCTCAACGATAAAGATATCGAAGAAGGAACAAACAACTCCTGGTCTCTGTCTGAGCCTGGCAGGAGGTTAGTATATCATTTCATGAAAGCCAAAAAACAAATAAAACACAGATAAATGTAAACTAAGCATTCTCATTAAGCAGTAATAAATGGGATATTCTCCAATTTTTTGGATCACAGGCAACGCCATGCAATACTAAAACATGGCAACAGAATGAGTCTCAAGGACTACAACACTTTGAAGGACTCGGACCTTATAGTTACCCCAACCACATGTAAAAGACCAGATCTTTCCCTCAGAAATATCGATTCATTCGTATCCAACGATGCAGAAGAGTAGTCACTTCAAAGTCAATGAAAGATGAGGACTAGAACGAGGCCAAATAAATGTGATATCAAAGGAGTGGAGAGTTGTTTTTTCCATTGGCTATGACCGTATGGTTTAAAGACATGCACTTTCGATGTTTATTTTCAAAGTTTGTTTAATTTTTGTATTTTTCTAATGCTTAGTTAGTTTACAATTCTGTCATCTTTACTCACCCTCATGCCATTACACGCATAAAAATTGGCATTTTGGTCTATACAATAGACATCACTAGGGTCCAAAACAACATTTTACATGTTTTTTTTGTGTTCCACAGAAGAAAGTCATAGAGGTTTGGAACAACATGAGGATGAATAACTATCCCTTTAAGAGACTCTTGTGAAAAACGTGGAATAGAAAGTTTAGAGGTGTTTATTTTATTGTGATTTCAAACTTGCAGCAAAAGTTTTAGGCACGACACAAAGGAACAAACATCAATTCTCTGCATCAACAAATTTCACAAAGACAGCGGGTGCGTTTCCACCTGCACAGATATCGCTGTCAGTATGTGCTATAAATAAATTGTGAATTTAACATGACATATCCTATTGAATGCACAGCGAAAATAAAGCGGAACAGTCAAGCGTAAAGCAGCAGCTCTTGTACATCCATTTCTGATATTGCAAGCTTTCACTTTGTTTAGAGCCACAGTTTCAGTATGAGCGTTCTTTCAGTAAATCTGTCAATACAGTAGCTGTTATTTTGCTGTTCTCTCAGTATTTTTGTTGACAGCTATTACATCTACATCTATTAATTTCTTTATCTAAAACAGCCATTAAAGCACTTTATTCTATATATTTTTTAATTTTCCTTGTTTTGTTTTTGGAACTGCATTGATAGTCAGAATTTATTTGGACAGCTTTGAGACCAGACTGAAACTGTGGAGAAAAACAGTGGAGCTTTAAGGATTTCAAGATACTACATGAAGGTGAACTATAAGTGCAAAAAAATCTTATTACTTTGAACATAAGAAACAAGTTTTATATCTGCATATTAACATCAAATATAATAAACAAAAAGCTTTATTTATCGGTTTATATGACTGAATAATGCACCAGCAACCACGTTATATGCAATCCAGCCATACTGCGTTACCAATATAATAAGCCATTAAATATTGGCATGGCTGTTATTTGCTTCATTTTGAACAAAATCAGTGAATTCCATAGTCACATTTTCTGGGCTTTTTTTGTTGTGTGGCTGCTCTGATTGAATGTTTTCATCCATGGGAGAGTCAACTCTGGGCTTGGGTTTGGAAACTATCCCCTCACAAATGTTGTTGAGTGTCTGGAGAATTGTAGAAAAAATATATGTAATACTATTGCAAACAAATGCAAATATAACGGAATTCATTATAAATGGGGTTTAATAACACGCTTACTAAATGAATTTCTTTAAAAATCCTGGTTTGTGATTAAAAAGCATTGTGATGTTACAAGATTTTCATTTAAATATAAATTAAAATCTGTAAATTAAATGGCAATCGATCGATAATTAATTTTGCAGATGCTTAAATATATTTAGAACTGTATTACTAAAGAGAGAAATGCCTCGCAGTAAAAAAAGATTTTTTAAAAGCTTTTCAAAGTTGAATAATGACATAGAAAGACAGCTAACACCACCCCCCTGTGGCTGCTCGGACATAGAAATCAATGCTGATTACACATAAGGTTATTCTTAGATGTGCCTCCCCCGGTGAAATGCTTCTGTGAAGCTTTTAGTCTTTCCTTACCTGTAATTTCTCCTTATTCTGAGTTCTGTGTATGGCAGGTTCCTGATCAGGTGTGCATTTATCCTGAGAATCCTTTGTGTTTGTCATCCACACTTGTGTATCTTCAACACACACTCTGACCTTGTCCATGTCCATGGCGTCAATATGACAGTAACTGTCACTCTGAGAGACAAAGTTCGCAATATATATTAAAACACACCTATACAATGAGTTGTTAAACTGGTTTTAAAACTTAAAGGGATAGTTCACCCAAAAATTTACCGTGATTCCCATTCACTTCCATTATATGACTGACAGACTGCAACAGTTTGAGTTAAAAATCTTCGTTTGTGTTCTACTGAAGAAACAAAGTCACCTACATCTTGGATGCCCTGGGGGTAAGCAGATAAACAACAAATTTTCATTTTTGGGTGAACTATCCCTTTAACAGTATACTTAAGTGCATTACTAAAGTATACCATGTTTTTTCACAGGGATGTGTTAAAATTCTATATTATTTTGTCTAAATGAATTAATTAAAAACTAAAATAAGAAGTTTTAAAAAAGGATGTTCATTTTGAGGTTTGCTAAAGATTACATTTAACAGAGTTAAATTAAGTTAAGTGAGCATCATTATTTTTGTATTTTCCGCATTTTCCTAATTTTTATTAGTTATTTTTTAAAATGTCTATATAGTTTGTATTCATTTTAGTTTGAGTTATTTTAAAAAGTCAAGTTAAAACAATGCTATTTTTAGTATAATTTCTATACTATTATAGTTTTGGTTAATATGTCTTCAGTTTTAATTTGAAATGTTTTCATTTTTAGTAATTTTGTTACATGATTTTGTCATTTTTATTCTTTTTTTTTTCATTTAAATTTTTTTTTTATTTAACTTAGGTTTTTTTTAATTTAATTTAAATTTTTTATATTTAATTTTATTTCAGTTTAAATATTTCAATTAACAATGTTTTTAATATTTTTTGTTTCAGTTAACGATAATAGTTAAACTAAATATAAATGCTGCTTTGTAAATTGGCTAAAATAAAATATTTTACATTATTTTTTACTTATTTTGTACATATTTTTACTTAACTATAATAACCCTGGTGAACATTAGATTACAGCAAGGTAAAAATATAAATGTAAAAATAAAGTAAATGAGCATGTACAATTAAATGATACATAACCATTATGTGCATACCTAGTTACTGACAATAAATTCTTTACATTTATTGTAGTATTCCGTTAAATACAACACACAACCATTGATGAGAATACATTTCTAGTCAGTTTAGGAACTTAAAAGAAAGTATTGCAGCACTTCTGATATTACAGTCTCCTTAGGATGAATTGCTGTGTTGTTGCATTCCTTATTTATAAGGCGCTTTGGATAAAAGCTTCTGCTTAATGAATAAATGTAAAAGCAGACACTATTTATAGTCAGTTTTAAGAGACTGATGGCTGAAATCTGACTGTGTAACTGCATGCGATCCATTATAATGTATAAAACAATTTAAAATAATGCCTCCCTGTGCTGTAAAGTGCCTTGCAGAGCATGATTGTTCCAAATAAGATGTGATATATGATGAAGAAAATGAGAGAGAAAACATTCTTATACTCCTCCATAATAGTCATGTAGCTTTGTATTTTGGCTGACAGCTCCTCGAACATTTTAGGTCTCCGTATGGACTCTTGGTATCTGTTTTGCACAGGCTTACCCAGTTTCTGTTGAATAAAACAAAAGGCTTTAATACATCACTGTTTGTAAGCATGAATGCATTTGTTTGGTGTGCAGTACACAGCATCCAATTAGCGCTCTTCCGAAAGTGCAACAGAGGGGTTTTGAAAGCTACACAAATGACTCTTCTAGCCTTTAAGCAAAATGCATGCCATCCCAACGCCGCGAGCTGTCAAGACAGCGCGAGTCAATTAAAACACAAAACTGGCCGCATATCAAATGGAGCAAAATGTTAAACCTATCGCGGAGTACGAGTCCGGTTATCTCTTGAGAGAACACAAAATCAATATGTCGTGGCTATGATTAAATGTGTTTGAGGACAAATGACTCACATGTATTTCTTCCAGCTTGTTAATGTACGTCTGCTTATCTTGGTCTGCTCCCTCTTCGTACAGCCAGTTCTCTGTGCCATTTAAAAGCTCAGAGAACGCCTGATGGTCCTGGAGAGAAGAAAAAAAGTGTTTGTTTTATGCGTCATTCAGATTTGTTTTCCTTTCAGCTGCAGAGCTCATATGAACTACTAACTAATTTAAATGAATGAGAGTTTGTTTCATTTATGCATGAACTGAAAATGGCCTTCAGAGATTCCGCAATCAGGAACAGGCTTCTGAAACATGAAAACATTAACGAACACTATGAATAAATCACAGTCTGTTGATAACAGTCCCTGTGAGCTAAATAGATTACATGTCACTCAACAGGTAATGCCGTGTTATCTGGGAAAATCCACATGGAAGATACATTACTTGAGCATTTATAGACGTGTGATAGGGACCCTCCAGCTTGTGTTTGTTGTATCATTATTTGTATGATTTTGCTGTATCATTTTGCTCGGTCAGGAAAGAAGAAGAGGAATTTAAGTGAGCGCCAGATGGTGAGAATGACTGATGGCTTTTTGAATAGCTTTATTCATGTTTATGGCTTCATGTACTGTCAAGATACCAAAATCACACTTCTAAGGCTAACTAAATATCTATCACAGCTTTTGAATCATCATTTCAGATTTACTGAAACCATCTCATGCTAAAAGACAGCTATGTTTCTTTCGTTTTCATCCCTAAAACAACTGTTACATGCACAGTTATTTTTACTAAAAGTCTGAGACTACTAGTAAAAGTGCTTTTGTTTAGATTTTTTCGAATTTAATACAGCTTAATGAATTATAAATTTGATTATTAACATAATTTGACAGAAAAGTTAAATTTATAGGAATTGCAAAATGGCTTAGTATTTAAGGTTTTTAGTTTTAGATTTAGCTTTCGATTTTCGATTTTTTCGATTTGAGTATTTTTAAGGTCTTCTTTTCAAAGAAGTTCACATGATCTATACTAACATTCCAAAATTTTCACGTATTTTAAATAAGAAATGTTTACTTTTATTACATTAATCAAAAGTGTTTATTTCAAATTAACACTGTTCTTCAAACTTTCCGTTTATCAAAGAATCCTGAAATTGTTAATAAAAACGTTTCTTGAGCATCAAATCAGCATATTAATATGATTTCTGAAGAATCACGTGACACTTAAGACTGGAGTAATGACTTGAAAAATCAGATGAAAATTCAGCTTTGCCATCTCAGGAATAAATTACATTCTACAATATATTTAAATTAAAATTAAAAGTGATTTTTAACTAAAATTATTTCACAGTATTACTGTATTGTACTGTATTTTTGGTCAAATAAATACAATCTAAATGTGGGCATTATAGGCTTCTATCAAAAAAAAAATATATATATATAAAAAAAATCAAACAAACCCAAACTTTTGACCAGTAGTACATGCCAAAATGTTTTTATTCGATTAGCAACCCATAAATGTTAATATTTCTTTAATATATTATTTTACATTTCTTTCTCACTGTATCATAAAATGATTTTTTAGGAAAACCTAAAACTTTATTTAAGGTTTAATTTAGATTTTAAATGCCAGATTTTCAGACTTTTAGACCCTGATGCATAAACAAACGTTTAGTCAACAATACCTTTAACTTTCATTATTAGGGGATTGGGAAAACCACAATCCCTGAAAAAAAAACATTAGAATACAAGCTTGTGTGGATGTGCATTACTTACACTAAGTGGAAAAGGCAGCTCCCAATATAATATGAATATTATGCAGTTTATCAATATTTGATTATGTATAAAATAATAGCAGCTTAATGAATGTACTATCAAAGTAGGGATGCACTGATATTAAGAATTATACCAATAAGATGATAAATATTTTCATGCCTGGCAACCGATAAATAGCAGATATTAAAATTCTATGCTATTTTATTTAAATAAAATAAAAATTTGTTCAAAATTCTACAAATGATTTAAGCATCAAAACATCACAAAGTATGAAAAATATATATTCTTTGTGAAATTTGCTAGTTTACATGTAAAAACGAATTCTGATAAGCTGATATATATGTGCGTTATGCATAGTATTGTTAAACCGATAACCGATAAAAAGCTGATATTAAAATTCTATACTTTTTTTTTTATAAATTACAAATATAACTAAATAGAACATCAAAAACAAAAAATCAATTGTTTAAAATGCTACAAGTGGGCAGTACATGTGCAGTATGAAAAATATATGTTCATTTTAAAGTTTGCTAAATATTACATTTAAGAGTGTTAATAAATTGTTAAGTGTTTATACAATAAGAGTTAAATATGCGTTAGACCCAAATAAAATCAAAATGTAAAATTACGAGAAATTTACATGCACATTTAGGATACATTTACACAACAAAAACTGTACTAAAAACATTTTTTTTATTTTTTTTTATTTAAGTTTTGTGTAAAGACGACAACAATGTCAAAACGATTCCGGTTCACGCACATCTGCAAAAATGACTAAAAAGCATTATTATGTATGCCAAGACAGTAGTTGTCAATTTCATTTTGTAAAGAAACACTACGTGTTTTCAAAGATTTGCATTTTCAGGCCCCCAAAACGGTGTTGTTGTGTAAATGAATGGCCAAAATGCTTAAAAAGTTTTTCAATTTTTAGCTGCAAACAGTGTTGTGTAAACACTCCTTTAAATACTAAACAATAATGGAATTTTTTTTTTTTTACAAAAATCCTCTTGTATCGACCAATAACTTATATGGTACAGATATATTGTGCATTAACAATTCATAGCTCTAAATAACACTACAGTCACATACCTGCTCATTTTCCCACATACGTCTTTATCGTCCATAAAGCACTCAATGTTGAGGAGAATGTCTGTGGAGTTGCTGCTCATCAGTTTTTTGAGTTTCTCACATTCTTGTGTCAGTCGCAACATAGCTCGAGCCTTGGACTTCACATCCATCTTGTACCTAGACTTATATTCAGCACAGAAGTATTCCACCAGCTTCTGATCAAAGTCTTTCCCTCCCAAATAAGGATCAAAGGCGGTCGACAGCACCTGCAAAATACAGAGCATTCACTGACATGCGTGAACATGCAAAGTTGGGGATCTACACGAGCGTCTGACTTTGATTGATACTCACAGTTTGCCTTTGTTGAAAGCACAAACAGACACCTGGAGAGCTGAGTGGCCCATGTCCACAAATGCCACAATTTTTGGATTCTCATCACAGCCTGGAAGATCTTTCTTGTATATGCCATAGATTAACGCCACTGGAATGATAAATGACACTGTCAAAATTGCTTCGGATGTGGCAAAGACACTGTTGTTGTGAGTTTCATTAATTCAAAAGATACCTGCAGTGCTGTCATTCATTAGCTTCAGGCAGTTCAAGCTGGCAATCTTGGCAGCATCCAGCACAGACGTCCTTTCTGAATCAGTGAAGAATGAGGGGATCTATACGTGACAAAATCATTTGTATGGCCAAAGAAATGACACAAACAAACAAACCATCGGATTGGTGGCTTGCACATTTGTGGTTTATGTCCAAATTAAAAAGGGCCTGTTTAAACGTTACTGCTGTATGAAAATAAAGCAAGGCCTTTTCTCTAAAATATCATGATGACAAGAATAAAAATGACTGTAATACATTATTAGCACTATAAATAATTTTAGGAGAATTTCTAATGAACTAAAAGCCTCTATTTCTGGTACATGCCCCTGGTATCCATTAAATATCATGAAAATAAATTATTTCTTGCAATATTCACAGCTTCAGTGCAAAGACGTACAGAGATGACACACTCCATCACTTTCTTCTGCAGATTAGCTTCTGCAATGTCTTTCAGTTTGGTCAACAACATAGCCGTGACCTGCTCAATGCGGAAATGGTGCTCTAGGTACATGACCTAATCAAGACAATGAAAGTCACAATCTTATTCTTTAATCAAAAAATAACATGACAGTTCACCCAAAAATGAAAAAAAAAAAATCTGAAAACATATTCACTGTCGAGTTTGTCTCCTCATCAGAACAGATATGGAGAAATTTACATCAATCCCCTCCAATAGATCCTCTACGGGAAATGGGTGCCGTCAGAATGAGAGTCCAAACAGCTGATAAAAACATCACAATCCACAAGTAATCCACACGACTCCAGTCCATCAATTAATGTCTTGTGAAGTGAAAATCTGTGTGTTTGGAAGAAACAAATCCACCATTAAGGTGTTTTAACTTTTAAACCTTCACTTCTGGACAAAATACACGTCCATAATTCATTTAATAATGATTCATCCAATGAAAAAGTTCATCTCTCGTCCTCTCACAACAAAATCCACCATTTCGAATTGTTTTCAGCTGTTTTCTTGATCTGTGCATATTTCTGTCCTGATTCAGAGGAGTCAACATTTCCCTGGAGAAAGCATAATTATGGATAAAGGACTCATATTTTACCTGGATGCAATAGTTTGATGTTTAAAAAAAAACATCATAATGATGGATTTGTTACAAACACACTTTTTTATTTTATTTTTTTTTTTTACTTTTACAAGACATTAATTGATGGACTGGAGTGGTGTCAATACTAGTGGATTATTGTGATAATTTTATTAGCTGTTTGGACTCTCAATCTGACGGCACCCATTCACTACAGAGGAGATTTGTGAGAAAGTTACAGTATGTAATGCTAATGCACTGCTAAACAAACCCAACTACATCTTAAATGATCCTTTATGGGACTAATGAACACAGTGTTTACCTTGATTCCAACCTTCCCATCATTTAGTGGTACCAGGTCATATGGTAAACTAGCCTTCTCTGCTTGCACAGAATGATCCTGAAACAATCTGCCATGCAGTCTCTTAAAATGAGAGACTGTGCTCGCAGTATTGGTTATCATCTAGAACAAGTAAAAAATATGAATGGTAATATAAGACACTTTTGCTTCATTCATAATCATCATCACAGATGAGAACAGGAATGCCCACCTGGTTTTTTGCAGCATTACCAATGCTTCTGTTCTTTGAATTAAATGACACAACAGCTCTAAAACAAAAAAAAGTTCAGGGGTATTAAACTTTTGAAGGATTCAAATAACAGATTTTAGCTCACATGTACATCATGTTTCAGATGTTTTGGAATGTCAATGTCATTGTACAATGACAAGTGTATGAAATGAGGAAACAAGCAACTTATCAACTAGACTTGTACTTGACTTTCAGTTTAGGTGGATATTCACATATGGAGTGTCAATATTCATCTGATACACTGAAGATGCATGAAATTAAAGCTTTATCTATTTATACAATTAGCAAGCACAGCATCCACTTACGGCGTGCACCTGTCTGTAAATTCATTGGACACGGTCTCGATTCCTCCGCTTTTGACCACAGCAATACAGCGATTCTGAAACCCCACATCAAAGCCCACGATAGCCATCCTGGACTCCGGGCCGTAGGCCGAGCGGTGTGTTCAGGTCAGATAAACAAATAAACAAACCCGCTAGTACGTGGTGTCAGTCCAGTCACTGCCGGTAATCGAGAGCGCGCGCACACTATTTTAGTCCTCGCGACCATATCGCTTTTCAGCGAACTTTCCAGAAACTTCCAAACGCAGCAGCGGCGGCCCTGCTCGGTCCAGCCCGCGCGGTGTGATTGCGTTCACAGTTCCAGAGGAGAGCTTTCGGCGCGGCGCAGCCGAGCGTCGGATGGGTTGCTGTGGTAACCGCACGAGATTATGGGATAAATAGCACAAATATACGATCTCCTGTCGTTATTTTAATGGCGTCGAGGGATTTATTATTAGTTCGACAAGACAAATGTTTACTTTTTAAAGTTCTAGATATTACAAATTGACCAGTTCAATATTTCATGTATGTTCGCATATTTCACGCGAGGAAAAGACTAAATGTTATAGGGTAACGTTGTTAGTCGACTCGTGACAGTTGTATTAAAACTTAATAGAGCTATATCATTCAGTGGGCCTATATTTCAGTAAGATTGAAAGCTCATTGTGTTTTTATGTAAGTTATTGGGTTTTTGATCGAAAGTGGGATACAGGTTAACATTTTAAAGAGTTTAAGTTACTTCATGACTGAAGACAAAGTATAAAGTGATTGTTTACGCGTCATGTCAACTTTTGCCATATTTTATTGGAAGTGAATGAAGCTGTTCCGCCGTTCTGTCTGACTAAATTATCATGTTTGTGAACTATCCCTTTAACAAACATTTTAATCGCGCTTGAAGCACTGCCCCTTTTGTAGTAGTTAGCGATGCGGTCACTAGAGGGCGCAGCTGAGACGCGCGTTCAACAGGAAATGTCTTCGCAAAACAAAGCTGGGTAATGATCGGCAGTCAGTAGTGACTGTTGGATGCAGGATCAGTGCAAATACTCTGCTACAGCACATTTACAGCGAGCTGGCAGCGTGCGGTACCCGCGCTTCTTTCTACTATGCTTTCCATAAACTCTCAAAACGGATACAGTGTTGCCCGATGTTTCTTGCTTTGGTCGCTTAGTAAGTATTTTTCTACTCGTCTACCAAAAGGAAGTTTTTTTTTAGCTCGAGAGTCTTAGGTTAATTTCTGTTGCTGTTTGTTTTATTTTAGAATGGCAGCAGTCTGAAACGTTTTTGCTTCTTTTACAGATGGAAAAGCATATGCTGAAAATTAACTGTTAGCAGTGACAAGGGTATTAACCTATTTTAAATAAGCTGCCACAAATGACACTTCCTTTTTCTTGTAACAGCTTTCCTGCACTCCTTCAAGTTATGAGGAGTGCTTTTAAATGGCTGTTTACAACTTCATTTGACGGTTGTATGAATTAAATATCTAAATATGTGGAGCATACATGCTTTTTCAAACTTAGTTGCCTAGTATATTGAATGAATGGTTGAGCTGCCTACCTAGGTAACAATTTGGGCATCATAGGTATGATTGGTTGATTCAAAACCTAGTGAGCTGCCTGTCTAGACAGCATTTTGTGCATTGAAGGTTTGATTGATTGTGTCTCGAAACCCTACTGAGCTGGCTAGCTTAACAACATTTTTAGGCATGATATTTTGTATCTCAAAACCTAGTGAGCTGCTTGTCTTGACAACATTTCTGGGCATCATATGCGATTTACTGTGAATAAACTGCCACAGCCAGAGTATCTGTTCTTCACTGTAAATAATTAATTGAACAGACTGATGTGCAAGAGTCTGAAGCGCAACAGTTTGGAGTAGAAGTGTGGAAATCTGAAGTGTTGTTGGAAGAAAATGTAACTGAATCCTTCCTCTTTCTCCACCCTTGCCAGGCAAATGAGTAGCGTTACATTTTATACAGAGCACCAGTGCAGATAGAACTGCTTTAATGTATTGATCAATGCCTATAAAGACAGTTTAATATGGACATTTGTGGATATTAAGGTCATAAATCAAACCTACAACCACCCGACTGCATGAATTGTGTGTTTGCAGTTGATGTAAGATTGTCTGTATGCCTACATGCCAGTCACGTAAATGCAATTCAAGTTGTTGGACTAAGCACCTCTACATTTTCTACAGTAAAAAGCCTGTGGATCCCACTAACCTAATGTGTCTAGTTAACACCTGGACCACAGGCAAATTGTGCTCTGTGTCTGATAAGAAATATTATCAGTGCCCCTTATTTTGTCTCAGTTTCGCCACTTATCAAAGTGCCTCAATTTGTTTAGATTTGCAGGGAAAGAGAGTCTCTTCATTAATCATTAGGCTATGTATGCTGAAGGATCTCAGACATAACTGTTCATGAAATTTTTTATGTGCACAGAAGATACACCTTGCTGTTCAAGAAAGAGACTTGTGGTTGCTAATATCTTGAGGTACTGACCTAGTTTTAGTAGTACTAGCACCTGCACCTGAGTTCAACAGTATGGGCCCGCTGGTCTGGAGCATATGAGGGAGTTTCAGGTCAAAACCGTCACCTGCTCTTTTGGGCCAGTTTTGCATTATCTTTATATTTGTCAGTCTTGGCTATTTGTTTTTGTGTGATGCATTGCACATTGTTGTTGTGAATTTGTCTAGCTGACTGACATGAAGTTTGGTTAAAGTTGCAAGAATTATGATAGTTTTTTTTTTTAATTAAGCATCATTAAGAATGAGTTGAAAATTACAAACCCTTTAGGTTTTTTTTTTTTTTTCTTAACTTGCCATTGCTTTCCAGCAAAAGAATTAGGGCTGTTTATGAATTAGGGCTGTCAAAAAAAATTCGAATTTCGAATATTCGATAAATTCGAATATAATTCTAATTTTGATAATATTTAAGTACAAAATTCTAATTTAGTTTTTCAGCCATTTTGACTGCCCTATTATGAATATAGTCACAATTACATGGAGCTAATCATAGCTTATTCCAGTAAAAAAAAAAAAAATTAAAGATGCACTGATTACAATATTCTTGGCCGATTCCGATTTTTCTGTCAGTGTGACCTGCCGATAACGATTTTTGCTGATTCCGATTTTCCTTCTAAGAACTATAATTGACAGCATATACAAACAAAAATCTATACTTTATCAATGCAAACAATTATTTACATAATAAAAGAAATTATTAAACATTACAACTCCCCCAATCTGGACTAAGTTACAGATGTTCTCTCACTTAAACAACTCTCAAAATAAAGTGCTCTGTGACTAGAAAGAGGCAGAAATAACAATTAACTGAAAATGAGTTGCTGTATATAAAAACAGATGTCATTTCCCACTATGTTTATAAATGGTAGTTTTTCCCCTAACCTTATTAAATGTGTTATCTTTCACATAAAATTCTTACTTTGTTTCAATTGATTCAGTTAGAATAATAAGAAATTGTAGAGTTGTTACCGTTCAAATGAAATCAGTATCAACAAACTCCATCTTTCCACAGGAGAGGAAACAGAAGCTGCATCTGAAGTGGCATTAGATGTATTTACACAGACTGTTTGATGAAGCTGAGGTCAGGTGCCATAAATGCATTTTCACCGCAAAATTTCAAATGCATAAATATATATATATTATGTTATATATTATGCTTTAATGTTATAAATGTTTATTAAAGATTAATGGTTTAAATATTTTTAAACATACAAATGCGAAATTTGGGGGAAAAATGCAATGATGTTTTTAAATATGAAATCAAACTACCAGTAGGTGGCGGCAAATGACTCTTTAAATGAGTGAGTTATTTAGTCATTTATTCAACCGATTCGTTCAAACGGCTGATTCATTCAGAAACGAGGCAAGTGACTTTATGAATGGGCCACTGAATCATTGACTCACTCGATTAGTTCAAAAACGTGGATTCATTCAGTAAGGAAACACCGCTGTGTTACACAACAGTTCTGCTGTGACTTTGATTGGAACTATTTTCGTCAGCGAAATTGAGCAAAAACAGTCAATATTGTGTCTAAAATGTAAGTCACTTAATTTGAACTTTTTGTTTATTGAACTACTAGTGTATAAAATCAGTGTCACATTGCAATCGTGTTGATATTGCAAGCATCTGGTTCGTGTAATGTTGCTTACCTAAATCATATATTATAAATATAATTTTTTTTCTTGTATGCATCTATAACTTTCTTTGAGTTACTTTGTGTGTTCTGTTGCGCTCATTTGTTTTGATTTCTGCACGAGTCTCTTTCACACACTCACTCAGGCTGCGCGAGCATCATCGGGCACGACATCAATACATTATCAGTCTCCGTTTACACTGAAAGCAATAAAATCAGAATCATTCTCGCGCGAAACAACATGTTTACATGCGGATGTGAGCGTATGTACGATGTCAAAACGGACCGGCTCGGAATCGGCAGACTGACCGACCGGTCACCGGTCCGGCCGATCATCTGGCAAATCGGCTAATTCCGGTCCCAGGCCGGTCGATCGGTGCATCTCTATTAAAAATAATAAAAAAGCAATTTTAAACTATTGCTAATTAGTTATTTTTGTGACAAAAAATGTAACATTTAAAAAATAATCTCCTGAAAATAAAAAATACAATAACATTTATAAATATGGAATAAAATAATTAAAAAAATAATATTAATTATTGCAAATTAAAATATAGTTTTTGTGATAAAGATATAACATTTAACGAAAATGTATCTTGCTAAGATTCCCATGGAAAGAAAAAATACAAGAAAAAGTAATTGATTATTGCAAATTAATACCTGGTAATTTTTTGTGGAAAAAATGTAACATTTTATGAAAAAAAGTCTCCCTGCTATTCTAATGGAAAGAAAAAAAACATAAGAACTTAAAAAATAATAATACAAATTATTAAAAATAATAAAATTCATTGCAGATTAAAACTAGTGAAAACATTTTGTGATGAAAATCTAACATTAGCAAAAAATATCTTGGTAAGAGTTATATGAAAAGATGAAAAAATATACAAGAAAAAAATTATAAAAAAATGTCGAATAAAAATAGAATAGAGTATTTTTTTCTGCCAAATGAAAACATGGCAAGTGCTTATTGCCCAACCAGTTCCAACTGGGACAGTAGAAAAAAATTATTTTGAGCCGTGATCTGACTTAAAATATGCTGTACTATTTTCATAGTTTTTCCCTGTAAGGAATTTCTTGTTTTAAGGTCTTATGAAGATGTATATGTCACGGTATCAGCTCTGTCCTGTTGTATTATTTATGATGTGCAGAACAAAACTTTAAGAGAGATAACATATCTTTTGTGTGTACCTGCAGGCAGAAGGAATGATCAGTCAAAGGCCACTGGTTTTGCTGTGAGGCACAGCTAAAAACAAAGCCATTTAAAATGTGCATCAAAGATGTTTTGTTAGTTGATGAGATATACTACGAAAAGTAAAATAACCAGCAGGTGTTTTGTTAAGTCTTTCCCCCACAGATGTTGTTCTGTTCCGAAGTTATTCCATCGCTTGAGTCAGGAGACAGTTTAAGCTAGCAGTTTTAAAAGATAAAAGTGCTGTTTACACCTGACAGTTAAAAAGATAAACACACCAGTACTCACTTTCTGAAAAGGTGTCTGTCAGATACATATCTAAAGTTATGCAGGGAGTGCAGGAATCCATGGATGGCATGAAATCACCTTGGCGGTGTGAATACTTGCACTCTGTTCTGCTTATCAGTGAGAGGCAGTTTTAGGATTTGGCTTGGGATTAAAAGCCATGGGAGATGGAGACAAACTAGGCATTTATGATGAGCAAAGGAATGCCAATGCATGCTCGTTTTTCTCCCAATTTACTAACCTGCTGTAATAGGACAGCATATCTACTTTAATACTCAAGACAGAGTTTTATGATTTTATATTTATTTATTTCTTTAACTGTGGAGCCACCGTAAAATAATGTGTTTCATAATCTGCACGGAAACCAAAGTTGAGCAAAATTCAGAATTTAGCCCTCATGTTTTGTTTGGGGTTTGAGAGAGAACCAATGGTCATTTTAATAGCTTTAAGAATATATGTAACATGTTAATATTTCATGACTTTTCAAAGTCATATGATAAAATAAGTTATGTCTTTAATTCAGACTAATTATGCAA